TCCAGTCGTCCGCGTGGTTTTCGAAAGTCCTTCGTTCCTTGTTCGATTGTTGCAATAATTTCATCACAAAGGATTTGGGCAAAGCAGAATTGTTACATTTATTCTTTGCCAAACCTTTTACCCTTGACACTAGCCAATTTCTCTGTCTCCCGATTCGTCCGTTACCACCATTAATTCCTCGTCTAAAAATATTAAAAAGAGAAACTAGTAGTCTTAATAAGTCGCATTCATCTGGGACTGATAACATCCAAAAGGCATTCATTATGCGATTAAGGGATTTTCCACCTTTACTGCGCAGTCATTCTCAATATTTCTTATGAATAGTTTCCTCTGATTATTGGAAAACTTCTATTCTAACACCACTTTTTACGTCTAGCTCCCGCTCTAAGATTCAAAATTACCACAGTGTCCATAAAACGTCCTGCTAAACTCATAATATCTACGGTCTCCTTGCGATCTTCGGGTGTTGAGTTATCAGCCTCTTTAGCTTTCATCACGGGTTGACTTGTTGGGAAATATTCTCTAGTGGACTGCGCATGTAAATGTACAGACATCCCCGTGTATTATTCCAGGCAATAAAGGTCAAAGCATGATAATAGAGGCAGCGGTTTATTAGTGAAAGCACGGTGAAGACTGCCCATTTATCTTTCGCGCCCTCGTCGAATTAGACCTCCATCGCCGACCTGCAAGCGTTTTAATATTTCTTCGAGATCAGCGCTATTAGACGATTCTACAGCCTGTCAAGACTAAGAATGAACTTCGACTGATCAATATTATCCACCTCGGAAATCTCCGACAGGACTCAGCTGACTCCTGCAAAATTTCGGATTCATCGGATTTCATCCTTCTCCGTTTCTATTGCTTATTCGCCCCAGAAGACTTTTCCACCGCCGAAAGATACAGCTAGAACTATTAAAATGGATGAATCGTTCTCGTTAACATAGATATTGGTTGCACTATCGTTTCAGAGTTATCGTCTATTTTTGTTTTTGGGAAGTTTCTCAACTACTGTTGTAGTCTATCGGTTTCAGTGCAGACTTATATCTAACTGTCTTCACATATAGTCACCAGAAACATGCGAGATGTAATCTTCTACGATCCCGCTGTGCAGGAGGGACAACAATGTTCACCGTCGGCTGGATTCGAACTCCCGACCTCAGCCCATCAGGGTATAAAGTATCTTCGAATCCCAGACATCCCTCCAGGAAGTCGGATGCCTTACCGACTGGGCTACGAAGGCACACAATCAGCATAATCAGCCTAGTTCATCAACTATAGAAGAGCAGTCGAAATTGATTTTCGATTAATTAGCAGTCTGCTGTGAAAAGATGAGGACAGAATCTTTGGAATATAAAATTATTCAATGTATTCAGTTCCGAGAGTCACAAAAGTAAACTAAGTCCAGTTTACTGGCACCAGACACTGACAAACGTCGGTGCGTAGGTTGCGCCGAGCTTTGCAATCGAGTCACTACAATGGAGAAGAAAACAAGTCAGCTTTCTGATCTCATTGCGGTCCTTCTTGAGCACAGCCAAATCGAACCCTATGGGGGAGAATAATTTATCAAACAGGCAAATAATGGATCGTCAGTTAAGGGAAATGCCGACGTTAGAATTCCAAAGTGGCCCAGGAAAAGGAAAATGATTAGTTCACCAGAACAAATTCCAGACGTCTCACACTCCGACAAAAGTGTTGGCAAGCCGCGAAACTGGCAATTAATAATCCAACGTACCTAACTAGTGGACCCAATAAACGATCCATCAAACACCATGAGCAAGACTCCTCTCTAATTCTGAAAAGTAATTGCGCAAACCCGCTTCCTAATAGAGTCAGCTGGAGGAAAAACATAGTAGTGTGTATGCGAATGTTTCGTATATGGCACTAAAAGAGAACAAACATTCAGAAGTGGGCCACTACGAAGCCACATACAAACGTGGGCTTCACAAATCCTCGCCCTAAAGAAAGCTATCGTTATGTCACTAACAAGCCTCCTTTTAACAGCATTATGGAGGAAACAAACCGCAATTGCGCGGACGGGGAACTATAAAATTCACCCATCTTAATAAAGAGGTTTTCCTGAGTCCACAGCGAACACTCCAGCGCAACAGTGGACACATGACATGAATTTTATTTACGATTACGTCGAAAGCGTCCTGCGGGATAGGGGAAATCATAACAGTGTAGAAAGTTTTCCAACTTGGAACAGCCGAACTAAGTCGTGTTCTAGCTTATCTCCTGGGTCCCTTAAAGTAGTTTTGCAGAATGACGCCCAGGCAGCGTTTTTACTAGGACAAAGAATGGCCCTAAGGAACTCGTAAAACCCAGTACTTTTTCAGCCGGATTACGAACCGAGAGAGAACGAAATGCCTGAACTGAGGAGGGACATGAAGAAGAAGATGGGCAGAGGGGAGATCGGACTGAAAATCAAGGATTAGATAATAATTCAGATAAAGAAGTCATATTTGTGGGGAACACCCGTCACAATGAAGGCCAGGCCTCGCCAACGCGACCAGCAATACAGTTGAGATTGAGTTAAGCCAAAAACATGACGATGGTTTGCACAAATGCACAGAGTCCAGTCAACAAATTGGATGAACTCAAACTGACCGTCAAGCACCTGCAACCCGACGTGTTAGATCTACCTGAAAAATTGTTAACTTTGGAATTTATAATTGTTAGCGCCAGGACAGCACTGTCCGTACAAAATAAGTTTTGTTAAAAAGAAAAATTCAAAGATGAATTTGACAATGTGCGCAAATAGACGTAGAAAGTCATAATAATGTCAGCAGAAATCGTCCTTTTGCAGATAGCAGATGCAGAAGTCAGACTGGAATCATTTAAGCTTTTCCGTATGGACCAAAATGGAGGTAGGGATGGGGGAATCGCAATGTTAATAAGAGATGACACCGACTACATTCCAGATAGTTCATCAACACGCAGAAACGTTTCTTGTGAAATACTTAGTTGTAAACTGAGAGTACTAAACCGACCGGACCTCCAGACTGCTCTAGTATACAGACACCCAGGACAACGTGCGGAAGCGGACTATGCACTTATCACTGAGGTAAAATAAATCTACCACAGTAAAACTGTCTTAATACTTAGAGATTTTAACTCTCCACACATTGATTGGGCGTTAATGCACAGCTCGCGATCAGAAAACTCATTCGAACAGAAAAGTCAGCTTTTGGTATATGACGAATTTCATACCCAAAAAGTCACAATGGACACGCGGTACCGAAATGACGAACAGTCTAGCCGTTTGGATCTCGTCATTAGTAAAGATGAAAACTGTGTCCTTGGATTTAGTTCTCAGACCTCTTTTGGCCGAAGTGACCATTGCGTCCCTGTTTGGGGATACAGCTCCTTTCTAAGTCCAGAATTATTTCCTATTCATTGCTAACTCGTGTTGTAAATGTATAAACCACCGGTGGATGTGAAAAACTCTGCTTCCATATGACTTAATTTTGCTGTTTATCTCACCGCGCACTTAGAGCACCAATGTGCACACTGCACGTATTTTACCCCACTACTAAGTCCGTTTAGATAGTACCCCATGGGCACTTAAAAATAAAAAAATATTTGTTTAGTGTTAGGACGGCCCAATACGCGAGTCATCTATCGGGCCGTCCTGAGGTTACGAGAACA